TTTACCATAGAATATAATTATTTCACCTAAAAACTCATCTTACATCTATTTAATTCATTGTTTTCAATAATTATGACATGAAAATTTTATCATGCCAAGTTTTTTTCTTGCTGGCAAATTTTCTAACAGAGGTAAGATTAGATAACAGGTAGAATAAAAGTTTTATATTTAATGCCGATTACACTAAGACATGCCTATTCTAATTAAACCAAAAAATTTAAATTAGCTTTAATACTGAGCATTTTCCCAGATCATGTAAACTAGAAAAACATTTGGGTTAGTTATCATTATATTTATTAGAACTTCAGAAATATTTAATTTATAAACACTTAAGTCTAAACCAGTTAAAAAGAGCTCTTTAGAAATTAGTGTTGGTGGTACCATCTAATGGTAGAAAAATATTACAAATTCACAACATTCATATGTAGACACACACATAGACATACAGGCAGACACAAATAGAGATCTTACAGTTTTGTTACTGAAAACAATTCAGTCATGTAATGGGTACTATAGTACAGAACTCACTAGTTTATAAAAGAATAGTGGATCCAATTTTTCTTTGGGCAGTTGGAAAAGGTTAAATTTATCTGTTCAAATGGCCAATTTTTTTTAAACTAATATTTTCAAATAAGATTTTTTAAGATTTCTCATTTGCCCAGTTTCCAAATACCTCCCTTTTCTTTTCCCTGCTTTGATGAGAGGTTTCTCCTCAAAGTTTGCATTGTAAATAATGGTTCTTGGCTCCTAGAGAAAATGAAAGTAGAACATCTATAGTACAAAATCATAGAGAAAGTATTCATGTTTTCCCCAAGATAGTATGAGTTTGAGAGCATATTTGCTTCTATCAAAGGTCTAGTGTAATTTAAATTTTCAAGTTCAGGATAATTCTGTTTCTAACATCTCTATGTCGACAAGAATAGGGAAGCTTTGGGGATGGGCAAAAAGACAGGTGAACTTTAAACTGCTTTCTAGAGCCACACGTCCAGCTCCCCAGAGATTTTTCAAGACAAAGTCCATTGGTTCCTGTTCCCCAAAGAACTGGATTACAGCCTGAATGATGAAGAGGTTGAACTNAATTTCTATTACAGTGTCGTTTGTTACAGTCATTTTAACTTAGGAGAAAAAAAAAAAAAAAAAAAAAAAAAAATCCTATCAAGCTCTTAATATCAGCAATAGTCAGGAGTTCAGTTGGACTGGTGGCCTCCCATCCTGTATTATTCTTTAACTATGGTCCTTAGTTCAGCGTTTGGCCGAAGAGTGAAAGATATCTGAGGAGGATACCTGTAACCTTGGGGAAAGGATGGAGGGAATAGAAGAATTCTGCTCCTCAGGAAGCCCACCAAAAATTCTGATACTATTCCTTATAATTATGAAACTAGCAGGCCATACCATACAGGCAGAAAGAAAAGTTCAGTTTTGAATTCCTGGGACCCATAGTGTGTGTCAGACCATGCCTTCTTAAAGGATATAATTGAAGACCTTATCCGATATTATATTTCCACTAGTACTGAGCAGAAACCAACCAATCTCCAGACTTTGGACTCCACCAAAAACTCCTGAATTTTTTTCCTTACTCTATTAAGTGACAGCAAAGCTCATTTGTAAAGTACATGCTATATTTTTGAAATTATAAAATCAACTAGCAAAGAAAGCTATAGATTTTTTAAAGGAAATACATGTAAGTAAAACTAAATGCTTAAAAATCTCAACAAATGAAAGTAATGATTTAATCAAGGCTTCTCATGTGGCAGTAGTGGTAAAGAATCCTCTTGCCAATCAGGAGATTCAGGTTCAATCCCTGGGTCAAGAAGATTCCCTCGAAAAGGAAATGGCAACTCACTCCAGTATTCTTATCTGGGAAATCCCATGGACATGTAGCCTGGTGGGCTACAGTCTATGGAATTGCAAGAAGTAGGACCTACTTGTACACACACACACACACACACACACACACACACACACATCTTTTAATTTCATGTCTGAAGTCACCATCTGCAATGATTTTGGAGTCCAAGAAAATAAAGTCTCTCACTGTTTCCATTGTTTCCCCATCTATTTGCCTTGAAGTGATGGGGCCAAATGCCATGATCTCAGTCTTTTGAATGTTGAGTTTTAAGCCAGCTTTTTACTCTCCTCTTTCACTTTCATCAACAGGCTCTTCAGTCCCTCTTTGCTTTCTGCCATAAGGGTGGTGTCATATGCATTTCTGAGGTTATTGATATTTCTCCCGCAGTCTTGATTTCAACTTCTGTTTCTTCCAGCCCTGCCTTTCACATGATATACTCTGCATATAAGTTAAATAGGCAGGGTGACGATATAGAGCCCTGACGTACTCCTTTCCCAATTTAGAACCAGTCTGCTGTTCCATGTCCGGTTCTAACTGTCACTTCTTGACCTGCATACAGATTTCTCAGGAGTTTGGGCTGAGAGTGTAGCAAAAACAAGCAGCTGAAATGACCTGTGGCCAGTGCCCCCCGGGAGCTCTGCACTGGGTAGAGAAGCAGACCATGCAGATGCTGAGACGGCGTTACAGCAATCGGAGATCCTATTACAGGAAGCAGGTCACTGGTGGGTGTAATTGGCCTTTTGTGGAGCTCTGGGAGTGGGGAATGAACCTCAGAGATGTGATAGAGAAATAACAGAAACTTCCATAGAACCTGCTGTGTGGTTCAAAGAGATAATACGGGGTGGTATGGAAGAAGCTAGATTTGGGGCCAAGGGACCTGGATGTGAGTCATGGCACAAGCACTCACTCTCGGTGCAGCTCTGGGAGGGATGTTGATCTTTCAGCTCTACTCATCTGTCTTCTCTAAGACGAGATGGCCATCATCAGTGTGTCTCCAGGAGGACCAGCGGTGTGAATGTGAAGTGATTTAGCACAGAGCAGGCACTCAGGAAATGGAGTACATTAATAGTATTCAGTGTTGCTTTCCTGTAACAGGAAGATCTAGAGGTATCAGGTACATCACTCAGGTACAAAAGTGTTGAGGAGACTCCAGAGCCATCAGTCCTAGAAAACTGGCAATTGTCTTCAACCCTTGAAGGTGATAATGCTGTGTAAATTTTCTATTTTGTTTCCAAAGCTACATCAAGTAAAAAAAAAAAAAATCATTGTTTATTCCAAAAGCATAGATTGAGATGCCTGTTATGTCCTGGGCGTTAGATTGGGCTCTGCAGTTTGAACAAACATGAGCTAGACAAGAAAACATATAAATGCCCAGAGAAAACCATTGTTAGCAGAGACAGGAGATAGTTCAGCCAAGAGGTGCAGTGAGAGTAGGTTTTCAATGGTGGAGCAAATGAGCTGCCAGAATTTAGAGCATGACTAGGCTTTTGAGTTACTGAAAGAAACCCGGCACATTAAAAGGCAAGAAAAAGTATAGAATAAATGTCGGAGATTGTTGGTTGAAATTTGAAATGATAGGAACAAAAGAACTATGGGTTAATGCCGAACTGTGGCAAATCTTGCATTCCCCGGGCTGTGTTTTTTAGGAGGTAGAACTAGTGCCTCACTGGAGCCATGTTTGGAAAGAATTAATCTGGCAGTAGCATGAAAGAGCTGCGGCCACCCAAGTGTGCAAATGCCACATTGGACAAAATCAGTTTGCAGAGTGGACTTTTTTCTTCTCTGTTTGCTTGTTTTTCCCGGTAGCACGGTGCTCTGAATTGTCCTTTTTGGCAGACTGGATTGCCTGGGAACTACAGGGAAAGTCAGCACTCTGCCTTAGGCCTTCTTAGGAAGATGCGCACTGGGGTGGATATTTCTTGTCACTTCACCATGAGGTTTGGTGTTTGCCTGGCAGAAAGAAACTGTCTGCCTGGGTTGCTAATCCCCCAGGAAAAGAGAAAAACAAGGCAGAAGAGCTCCAGGTCTGCTGTAACCCTAGGCAGTAATTCTGTCTCATTACCACTTCAGTGGACCAGTCAACAAAAATTAGCAAGGCTTGCTCTTCACTGGATGTCATCTACTCCATCTGGTTCTTCTGCTTCACACAGCTGAAGACTCCAAAGATCAGAGTGATCAATGGGCAGGCAGAACTGAGGTGTCTGTCCTATTTAAAATAAAAGCATGCCTCTGTTTTGGGGTGAACTCCAGAAGAGGACTCATCTCAACCACAAATCTTTCTAAGCATTCTATGCGAAGAATCTTGAAGGGCAAAAGGAATCTAGGAGAACTTTTCTGTCTAAGAAAAGATTAAGGCTTAATTTAGGAAAACAACGTGTACCTGAATAGTGATAATACAGACAGTGTTTAACAAACTCCCGTGGGTTACACCTAACAGGAGTTTAGAGGAGCAAAGCTTCACTTATTAATGGTCCTGAATACAGAAGCAGAGAGAATATGGAGGAGACAGTATTTTAAACTTTTGACAGCTCATAGGAGGCAGTATGAAAGATTTTACAGTCAGAATTGCCTGAATATAACCTTACCTCTAACATTGCTACTAGCAACATGAACCTGGAAAGTTATTTAATTTCTCTGGCCTACATCTATAGTTTGGGGTGTCAACTACAAACTGGCACTTACCAAGAGCATTGCCAATAAATGAAGAACAAAAGCAATTGCCATCTACCTCTACAGAGATTGAATCCCACGCTGCTATAGCTGTTGGCCTTCAACAATCTCTGAGGGAGTTCAGGGTGGAGTGAGGCGCTCTGTGCTCCAGGGAATCTGGTGGGACAGGCCTTTAGATAGTTGGGTGTTTTTAGGAACAGATTTTATGATCTCAATCCTTGCACGTGCCCATATCTAGAGAAGCACTGAATCTCTTCACGGTGACATCAGACCCTCATGACTAACAAAAACCTTTTGTAAAATGAGTGCTTCATGGCACTGAACTCCCCCTTCACCAAAACCTTATATATTGACTATCCCCCACTGCTGCTTTGGAGCAGTCTCTCAGAGCTATCTGAGATGCTGGGTCCTGGGCTGCAGTCCTCATTTTGCCCCCAATAAGGCTTAACTCACAACTCTCAAGTTGTACATCTTTTTTTAGTTGACAGTTATGGCGACCGACAAAGGGACCCTGAGTGGACTTCCTTCCTTCGACTGGACTCCACGAGGAACCGGAGCTTTGGTACCAGCAGCGGCCCCTTGCGCCCATCCGCCTCCTCGGGGAGTGCAGACGAATTTGGGTAAGTCTCTCCTGGTTCTCAAATCTCCCGTATTGGTTGAGATTCTGAGTCTTATTTGGCGGTGGAGCAGGTTACCTGCGCCTTCCAGGGAGGAAAGAATACTGGGGGCGGGAGAAACATCTAGGGCATACTCACTCATGGTCTAGACACTGCGTGGGGCTGGTTGAAAGATACTGAGAAATTCCCACCCAGGCAAAAGCGTGGGGAGCTGGCTGAAAGATGCCAGAATTGCCCACCCAGTGGAAAGGTACTAGGTAGGCGGGCTTGATTGGAAAAAAATTGAGGAATACCCGGCACTTGGCTGAAAGATGCTGAGATAGCTCCCTTGTAGGGGCCTGCATGGTCTTGGCTGAGCAGTTAAGAGGTTGATCTGACACTTTTCCTCAATTTGACTGCCAATAGAGAATTGGTCAGGATAAAAGTGAGGAAAATAAGTGAGAGCTTTGCTTTGAAGAAAGGGGCAAGACTCCTCCCAAGCGGTTTTGGTTTTCTCAGATGACTGAGAAATTTATGGGAGCAGTGGAGGCCTAGTCCTCATACCGTGCAGGGTTCCACAGGGAAACCCACTCGTTAATTAAAATACTTGTTCGTCCGGGGTCGCACATAAGAACCCGTCATTCAGCAACCTGAGCAGCCACGGTGGTCTTGTATTGCCGGAGGCAGGGTCTGAGACACGTAAGACAAGCTGAAACGACTGTGGGGTGACTCCTGCAGGAGTGACGCTCACAAGCAGCACATGGACACAAATTTACTAGTGATTTTTATCCCTGACAAATTCAGCTTAAAATGGGAAACAGAATCTCTCAAAAGCGGAAACAAAGGGGTGTCAGAAAGCCAGCCTCTGACTAATACTCCAGCCAGATTCGTGTACAATACATACGGAGGTCATACTTGCAAGTACCTAGTTAATTGGAGAAATTATACTAAAAGAGAACTCAACCTAAAATGGCCAAATTGGGGTTCTTTTGATATTCCAAAATTGATATTTTTTTTTGTGAGCACTAATAATTAGGAAAGGCCAGCTGTGCTTACTTTGACTGGTATCTAGAAGCTTCTAAAAGAGGAAATGATACAGTAACTTCTTAGAACATCAACAAGAAATTGCTTGAAACTATCAGAACTAAAAAGACTGCTAGCACTGACTTTGCCAGATCACAGGCCTAGTGGAACTGGGAAGTCACGTTTGGCATTTATGCCATTTGGCTTTTGATTTGGGGGCATCATTTTA